TTTTTATCTGTTTATATAGCGTTTTATAGTTGTCTCATGTGTGCATATGCTGTTACGCTTTCTAAAACAGGATTTTGACATACTCAAGAAATAGGATCATGAGTCCTTTTTTTTGGAACAACAGCAACCAATACAACATTGGGCATATTGTGGGTACTCAATGCTTGTTGATTGTAAAATGCTTCCCCAGAAAATACAAGAATCATCTCTTGATTAAGAAATTGAAGTGGGTTTATGGATTACCTTTGTCAACTTTTTAAAAACTATTTCATTGCTAATCAACCTTTTCATCAGATTAGACAGAGGGAATAAACTTAAAACAGCTTTCTATTCATAGTTAAGAAAGCAAATGTTAGTTATAAGACTTGTGAATTATTGGTTATAGATTTATTCTTTCTCCATCAGTGAAGGATTAGTTAAATATATATATTTAAAACTGAAACCAGAAGCACAGGAAACAAAAGGAAAAACAGATAAATTGGACTTCATTAAAGTTAAAAACTTTCGTGCATCCAAGGACACCATCAAGAGAGTGAAAAGACAACCTACAGAATGGGAGAAAATATTTGCAAATCACATATCCAATAACGGTTTAATACAGACACTATATAAGGAACTCCTACAACTCAACAGAAAACCCCACACAAGTAAAAAGTAGGCAAAGGACTTAAATAAACATTTCTCCAAAGTAGATACACAAATGTCCAACAAGCACATGAAAAGATGCTCAATATGACTAGTCATTAGGGAAATGCAAACTGGAACCACAATGAAACACCTCTTTACACCCACTAGAATGGGTATAATGTAAAAAATGGGAAATAAGTGTTGGTGAGGATGTGGAAAAACTGGAACCCTTGCACATTGCTAGTAGAAATGTGAAATGGTGCAGCTGCTGTGTGAAAGTTTGGTAGTTCCTGAAAAAGGTAAACAAAGAATTAGCACATGACCTAGCAATTCCACTCCTAGGGATATATCCCAAAGAACTGAAAACAGGGACTCAAACAGCTATTTGTAGTTCATAGCTGCATTATTCACGATAGCCAAAAAGTAGGAATAACCCAAACGTCCACCAACAGATGAACAGACAAAATGTGGTACATACATACAATGGAATATTATTCAGTCATAAAAAGGATGAAGTACTGATACTTGCTATAAAAGAAGGAACGTGGAAGACACTATTCTAAGTGAAAATATACCATAAACAAAAATTGTTTGATTCTACTTACATGAAATATCTAGAATAGGCAAATTTACAGAAACAAAACACAGATTAGAGGTTACCAGGGGTTAGGAGGAGGGGGGAGCAGAGATATTGCTTAATGGATCCAGTTTCTGTTTGGAGTGGTGAAAAATTTTGGAAATATATAGTGGTAATGGCTGCCAACTGTGAATATAATTAATGCCACTGAATTGTACACTTAAAAATGGTAAATTTTGGGGGCTGGCATAGTGGTTAAGTTCGTGCACTCCACTTCAGCAGCCCAGGGTGCACAGGTTCGGATCCTGGGAACAGACCTACACATCACTCATCAAGCCATGCTTGTGGCAGCATCCCGCATACAAAATACAGGAAGATTGGCAACAGATGTTAGCTCAGAGCCAATCTTCCTTACCAAGGGAAGAAAAAAAGGCAACTTTTACATGTATTTTACTACAATTAAAAAAATGAAACTAGGAAAAAAAAACCCCAGCATTCTTTATTATACCCCTGAGTTCAAGTTCCCACTCTGCCATTTATAAGCCATGCCATGTTAAGTAAGTTGTTTAATTTCTCCTGGCTTCAATCCATGTATAAGAGATATTATCCACCTCCCAGAGTTGTTAAGACTAAATGAGAGAACCTAATCACTTAGCACAGTACCTGTCACATAATAAATACTGGACAAATGGTAGCTGCTATTATTCAGAAACCATTGTTACTCATCAAGTAGATGTCTGGAAGGCTGCTATACACGGATATCCAAAAGAACGCCACGATATTCTCAAGACATTCTGAAATAAAGAAATGAATGTCCAGCATTCAGTTATGCTACTGGAAACCTGGAAACCTGAGACCACCAGGGTCAGTCCTCTTGGGATATCACTGAACATACAGAATAAATGACACACCCAGAAAGTGAGAACCTACTTTGTATATCACTACATTAAAGACGTGAACAAAATATGAAGCTAGTTGGCTGTCTTCAATTAACTTCATTTTATTTTTTCCTACATATTTCTTATTTTTAAAAATTGTAAGAGATTTAATTTCTTAGCAAATGCCATGGGTTTAAGCTTGTCTAGAGGTCCTAAGTGCCAACCACAGCATCTCAATGTCATCATAAAGCAGAGAACCATACAGAATATGCTGTCTAAAAACATCAAAACAAGTGGAAATCCTAGGAACATGGAAGCTTGGAGAGAACTGTTAAATAATCTTGTATAATTTCTATAATATACCTATCTTGATTAAAATTAGTCATTAAAAAACGGTCAAAGTAGCTGAAACTCAAAAACTGAAGTCTAGGCAAGGTACACCAGAGGAAGATATTACAAACTATTCCAAAAACAAGAGATAACACAAATCTTATAACGTGAATTCAGTCATTTCCATATTCTACAGTCTTTCGCAAAAATTTCCCAAATTCCTTCAAAGAAGTAATCCACCCAGTAAGGAAGTTTCTCTCAATATATACATAATTATTTGCATACATAAGCAACTTAGATCCAGAGGGAAAGTACACTATCTCAAATGGCCTATAAAGGTTAAAAAACAGAAGTCATTTTTTACCAAGACTGGCTGATATTCAGAAAGGGTCAAGCCATTCTAAAAGGGTGATGTTTGCACAACACTGTGAATATAATTAAATCTGTCATGAAAATCTTAAACCCGTCATGAGAAGCATCAAGAAGACTGTATTTTACTCCATGTTGATAAAAGAATTTTTCATAACCCAGTATGTCCAGATTAAAACTACTAACCACCACGTATTGTATGTTTGAAAAGCAAAGGATCTGTGCCAACACCCTCAGGAAAAATAGTCTTTCCCTTCCCAACAAAAACCTCCTGTAATAAGCAAGAACTGTTTAACATGTTAACCTGACACACTCACCTGAGCAAATTCCTTTCAACCACAATTAACTCCTAACTATCCTGACAGTAATGGAGAAAAAAGACTTCCATAATTAAATTCCAGAAATAATCCTTTTATCCCACACAGGTCCTTCCTCCACCCCAGTTACATCAGGGCCAAATAAAGAGGTTTGGTGGTTGATGTCCCTTTTTTCTAAACCTTGGGCACAGCCTCAGGTCCAGAAAACTCAGTTCTCAAAGAAACTGATACCATAGCTATCTAACTAGATACCACTGGTAAAAAATAACCAAAAGCTAAGACTCCATGCTTTTAAACGCCCATGCTAATAATTCCTGGCTGGTCACAAGCCACACTACCAAAAGGCTTAAAGAAATTGGTTCAAGTTCATTACTGAGAGGAGATAAACGTTTATCAGAATTCTTAAATGACTGTGAAAAAATATTTAATTAAAACTGAATACTACCTATAACAAGTACATACTAATACACTTCGGGACCATTAACAATCACCCCCTTTACAGGAAGGATCATTTTGACCCCCAACTTGACACCAACCCAAAGCTGTTTTAAATCATGCCCTTTTTATCTTCCTGCTTTGTTATCACTAAGGATCTTATTAACATGCCACCAAGTAATACCAGGACTTGAAATGCACTGTAAAGTAGTATTTTCATGGACGATTTTTTCAAGACACACTTCAGTGAGCTCTCCGAACTATATGTCCAGGATTTAGTCATACAGGATGCCCACAGATCTTATTCAAGTGGCATGGCTAACCATCACGTAATTCAGGAAATTGATCAGCCAAAAGTTAGGAGTACCTGATTTACAGATGGAGCTTAAGTGACAGGGCAAGCAACTGGTCTAAATGTTAGGATATTAAGGAAAAGTTGTAAACCCTTTCATCCCCGAACAACTGAATTTAGGAACTTATAAATACGCCCCACATTTTGAGACATCTAACGTAAGGATGGAACAAGACCAACACTGTCATCCTCGCCATTCCCAGAAGCTGTTTCTTAACTAAAACTCTAACATGCTCCAGAATGGACTCGGCAAAAGGTCACTTAAGTCGAGGCAGGAGAATTTCATCACCCTGCGGCACTGCAACACCAAGTGAACCAAAATCCCTCTCCTGGGCAGACGATTCACCCCAAAGCAGAAGCGCGTCCGGCGTCAGGAAACTTTTGAAGTCGCGATCCCGCCGGGAAAGGCGGACTCGCGCGTTGGCACTGTGACCCGCGCACTTTCCTCTACGTCGACGGCGAGGAATCCGGCGAGCCCACCCGGCGGCGGCCGGCCCAGCACCCCGCGCCGCGGCCGAGCCACGTCTCCCCCGGCGGCCGCTCCCCAGCGCTCGGGAAACGGACGCCCGCGCCCCCGGAGCCCTCCCCCGTCGGCCGAGCTCCGGGAACCTGCCGGTTTAAATGGCCAAGCTGGAGCCACCTCGCGCAGCTGTCACCTGAAACTCGGGGAAGCCGAGCCCGGCCAACTCCGCGGCGCGGGCAAGGGCGCGGGCGGCGGGGCCGGGCCGAGGGATGCGGCCGGCTCCCTCCCTCCCCCCCTCCCTCCCCGGCCCGCCGCCATCCTGCTCCTGAATAATTGAACGCGCCGGAGGGCCAGCGCGCCGGCCAGGAAGGCGGCTCCGGGGCCGACCTCCCCGAGCCGAGGCGGCGGGGTCGGGAAGCCGAGGGCGACATCCAGGCGCGCGGACGACGCCCCCCGGGGCCCAGGGAAGCGGGCGGAGACCCCGCGGCCGGCGGGGCGGCCGGAGCGCAGCGCGGGGGCGACGTGGGCAGGGGGATGACAAAGGGGCGCGGGGCCCCGGCCGCGCCGCCCGCGGGCCCGAGGCGCCGGGACAGGTGGCCGGGCCTGGCCGGGAACAATGGGGGGCCGAGGCCGCCCCCTGGCGCTCACCTACCTCCGGTGCCCTCCGAGTTCTCGTTGAGGCTGCCCGAGGAGTCGTGCTGGGCGCCCACGCACCCGCCCATGGGGCCCCGGCGCCGCGTCCGCCACCTCCGGCCGCTCGTCCGGGCGCGCCGCCGCCCCAGCCTCCTCCGGCGCCGCCGCCGCCGAGCTCCGGACGGGCGCGCCGCTCCGCTCGCCCGCCGCGGCCCAGCCTCCGCCCCCTCGCCGCTCCACCCACCGCCTTGGCTCGGCCCCTTCCTCCGCGCCCTCTTCTCCCTCAGCCCCCGGGCCGCCCGCGCGGCAGGCCCGGCCCGCGCGCCGCCCTCGCCTGCGGCTCGGCCCCGCCAGGCCGGGGCTGGCCCATTCCGGGGGGCCGCGGCGCGCCTCGCCCCTCACAGCCCTCGGCCCCGCGCGCACGCGAGCCCGGCGCGGCGCCGCCCGTCAGCCAGGCCCCTCGGCCCCCGCCCGCGGCGCCGCCCTCCGCTCCCGCGGCCTGGGCTCGGCGGGCCGCCCGGAAGCGCCGGGGGGCGGGGCCCCGCGAGGCCGCACGCTGATTGGCTGCGGGAGGGGCCGCGCGCCGCGGGGGGGCGGAGGATGGGAGCTGGGAGCCGGAGGAGAGGAGGCGGAGGGGGACCGGTCCGGGAAGAGGCAGGGAAAGGGGGCGAGCGGGAGGGAGAGGGGAGGACGGGAAGAAGGGGGAGAGAGCAGGAAAGGAGGAGCAAAAGTGAGAAAGGAGAAGTGGAAAGGGACAAAATCGAGTTTCTGGCTCCTCCTCGGGCGTCAGCTTGCTCCCGGTGGAAGCGGGTCGGAGGAGGGCGGGCACAGAGCCGTAGTGATGGAAAACTCCCTGGCCGGGACGGGGCGAGTTCCCAGATAACTGGCAGAGGGGGCATCCTGGTTGAAGGTTGAGGTCTCAGCACCTTTTGGATTTGTGTAGACTTCGGTGGGCTTGCCCTTGCCTGCCTCACCCCCGTGCCCCTTAAAATCACTGTGCCCCATTATTAGACATAGAGGCGGCCCTTGTGGTTGCAAGCTGGACTCAGATTACAGAGGCGAGGCAGCCCGGGTAGGAGAGATAAGTGCTGATCGTAGTTCAGGGGGCGTGGTTTTCATTTTCGCTGCATTGATTATTAAGACACAAAGCTACTTCTCAAGACTCTCTCTTTAGGCGTCTTAAATCGGTTTTGAGGACAAAGTGAAGTACAACAAATGAAATACCCTGCTTTTTCTAAACTAGAATTTGGTGCATTGACCACGCCCTACTTTCTTGGCGGTTGCTATCCCAATCTAAGCCAAATTCTTAATGCTCCCTTCAGAATTCTGCTTCTTGCTATGATGCCTTAAAATTTTTATCGCCCTTCTTGGGCCTTTCTGAAGCTTATTTCTGCCTATGAGCTGTTTTAACTATCTGCTCCATTTTTATATCAGACTTTCTTTTTTTAACATCCTGGGTCAGCTTTTGCATTGCATTAAAAAAATTTTTTTAAGTGAAATACCTAAGAAAGAGACTCTCTGCAGCTTGGAATTTGCATTTAAATATATTTTCATACACTGCTGGTGGGAGTGTAAATTGGTTCAGTCTTTCAGCAAAGCACTTTGGCAATGCGGACCAAGAGCCTTAAAAACCTTCATACCCTTTGACTTGAGATTATCACACGTGGGAATTCAGCTCACAGAAATAGTCCAAAACGCAAAGATTTAGGTCCTTGTATTCATTTGATAATCAGATAAAAATGAGGGTTCAACAAACAAAACCCTATACTTACAGGAAAGCACAGAAATGTCTTGTGAGAAATAGGAGTTCGCTGTATTAAATTTATACTAGAGAATTAGTGTTGTCCTGGGTAGTCAAGAACATTCGAAAGAGCATATATACCATTGACGTTTTTATGAGTTTTCAAAGGTTGCTCTTAGATTCAGGCACTGTCACTAAGCCTTCTAGCTGATGATTTCTCAGCTGAGTATTCACGTTGGCAGACAGACATCGCTTCATCACCTCTCTGATGGAGAGATACTGCACACTGAATATCTTCAAAGGGATTGCTTTGTCCTGAATTTTGCTCTAGAAATTGCAGAAACCAAGACTTCCATGATGCCTGTTAAACAGATGGTAGGCACCCAAGTGATGAGTGCTTTCTAATGAGCACTGAGGAATTGGCGCTAGGAAGAGAGAGCAAGCTCATGGAGAGAGTCTCAGCTTGTGGATGCTCTCCACCCTGCCTTTATCTTAGGGCAGAGACACAAGTTCCCAGGAGAGAGAGTAATGTGGCCATTAAGGGTTCCAGGTCTACTATCAGCTTCCTAGGTTGGAATCCGGCTCCTGTCCTGTGCTAGCTGTATGACTTTAAATTTATGTGCAGCTGGGTTTCCTCACCTGTGAATTGGGCTCATACAATGCTCCAGACTCTGTGGGGGGTCTTCATTAACTCTCCGCTCTACTTCACGTCTAATGTCACCTATCTAAACTTACTGCATAACCAAATCTATTGACTTTCTATAGAAACAATGCCTTCTTTGTGTGTGTGCTTTTTTTTCTTTTTTTTTTTTGTGAAGAAGATGGGCTCTGAGCTAACATCAGTTGCCAATCTTCCTCTTTTTGCTTGAGGAAGATGGTCACTGAGCTGACACCTGTGCCGATCTTCCTCTGTTTTCTGTGAGATGCCACCACAGTGTAGCCTGAGGAGCAGCGCTAGGTCTGCACCCAGGATCCGAACCTGCAAACCCTGGGCCCGCCAAAGTGGAACACGCGAACTTAACCACTACGCCACCAGGCAGCCCCATGTGTGTGCTTTTCTATTTTTTATAACATCTTTATTGAGATATAATTTAATATATCATATACTTCACCAATTTAAAGTGTACAATTCAAGTAAATTGGTGCAGCCACTGTGGAAAACAGTATGGAACTTCCTAAAAAAATTAAGAATAGAACTACCATGTGATCCAGCGATTCCACTTTGGGGTATTTATCCAGAGAAAATGAAAACACTAACTCAAAAAGATATTTGCATCCCCATGTTCACTGCAGCATTACTTACAACAGCCAAGATATGGAAACAACCTAAGTGTCCACTGATGAATGAATGGATAAAGAATACACAGGAGATATTATATATATATATATATATATATATATATATATAGGAACATTATTCAGCCAAAAAAATAGTGAAATTTTTGGGGCTGGCCCAGGGGTGTGGTGGTTAAGTTTGCGCATTCCACTTCGGCGGCCTGGGGTTCACAGGTTCGGATCCCAGGTGCCAACCTAGCACCACTCATCAAGCCATCCTGTGGTGACATCCCACATAAAGTAGAGGAAGGTTGGCACAGATGTTAGCTCAGCGACAAGATTCTTCAAGCAAAAAGAGAAAGATTGGCAACAGATGTTAGCTCAGGGCCAGTCTTCCTCACAAAAAAATAAATTAAAAAAAATGAAATTTTGCCATTTGCAACAACATGGATGGACCTTGAGGGCATTATGCTGAGTGAAATAAGTCAGTCAGAGAAAGACAAATACCAAGTGATCTTATCTGTATGTGGAATATAAAAAACAAAACAAAACAAGCTCTTGGATACAGGGAACAGATTGATGGTTGCCATAGGCAGGGGTGGGAGTGGGCGAAATGGGTGAAGGTGGTCAAAAGGTACAAACTTCTAGTTATAAAATCAATAAGTCATGGGGGGCTGGCCCCGTGGCCAAGTGGTTAAGTTCGCGCGCTCCGCCGCAGGCGGCCCAGTGTTTCGTTGGTTCGAATCCTGGGCGCGGACATGGCACTGCTTGTCAGACCACGCTGAGGCAGCGTCCCACATGCCACAACTAGAAGGACCCACAACGAAGAATATACAACTATGTACTGGGGGGCTTTGGGGAGAAAAAGGGAAAAATAAAATCTTTAAAAAAAAAAAATCAATAAGTCATGGGAGTGTAATGTAAATAGCATGGTGACTACTTAATAATACTGTATTGCATATTTGAAAGTTGCTAAGAGAGTAAATCTTAAAAGTTCTCATCACAAGAAAAAAAATTTGTAGCTATGTATGGTGAGGGCTGTTAATTAGATTTATTGTGATCATTTTGCAATGTGTACAAATATTGAATCATTATGTTGTACACCTAAAACTAATACAATGTTATATGTCAATTATACCTCAATAAAAAATAATTAAAAATAAAGTATGTGATTCAATCGTTTGAATATACTCACAATCAATTTTAGAACAGTTCCTCACACCAAAAAGACACCCATACCTATTAGCAATCACTCCCATTTCCTCCCGACCTCCAGCCCTAGGCAGCCACGAATCTCTTTTTTGTCTCTACAGATTTGCCATCCTGGACATTTCATATAAATGGAATCATCTGGTCTTTTGTGAGCGGTTTCCTTCATGTAACATGTTTTTAAGGTTCATCCACGTCGTAGTGTGTATCTGTACTTAATTCCTTTTTATGGCTGAATAATATTCCATTCTGTGGCTAGACCACATTTTGTTTATCCCTTCATCAGTTGGTGGACATTTAAGTTGTTTCTACTTTTTTGTTGCTGTTGTTGCCTAAACTCCAGCCTTTATTTGGAGTTTACTCGTTTTTGCATTACTTCTTTTTCTCTTCCAGGATCCAACTTAGGATATAATAATGGTATTGCATTTGGTTATTGTGTCTCCTTGGTCTCCTCTGGTCTGTCATAGTTTCTCAGACATTCCTTTTTTTCTTTTTTTTTTTTTGAGAAAGATTAGCCCTGAGCCAACTGCAGCCAATCCACCTATTTTTGCTGAGGAATACTGGCCCTGAGATAACATCCATGCCCATCTTCCTCTACTTTATATGTGGGACGCCTGCCACAGCATGGCTTGATGAATGGTGCCATGTCTGCACCCAGGATTGGAGCTGGCAAACCCCGGGCCACCGAAATGGAACATGCGCACTTAACCACTGTGCCACCGGGCCAGCCCCTCAGACGTTCCTTATTTTTAATGACCTCAACAGTTTTGAGGATATTGGTCAGGTATTTTGTAGAATATCCTTCAATTTTTCAGGAGGCATTATGGTTTTTTTGGAAGAATGCCACACAGGTGAAATGCCCTTCTCATCGCATCACGTCATCAGAACTTCCGTTGGTGACATTAACCTTGATTCTTAAGTGAGTTTGCTGGGTTTCTCCTCTGTCCCATCACTTTCCCCCCCATCCAGACTGTGTTCTGTGGAAGCAGGTGACTAAGGCTAGCCTCCTTCAGAGTCGGGAGAGGAATGAAGCTCCCCTTCCTAGAGGGGCAAAGAGCTACACAAGAGACTTGAAATTCCTCTGTGAGGAAGACTTTTCTCTTCTCCCCATTTATTTGTTCAAACATGTATTTGTATCAGTGGAGACTCCTGCGTATTTCTTTTATACTTTCGGTTATAATTCCATCCTACACTATTTATTTTTTTGCTCAAATTTTTCCAGCTTTTGG